CCACAAAACGTGCCAGATCGTGGCTTGTGCCGCGCCGCTTTCGCATTTTGGAGCTCAGAGACGTCAAGGCTGCGGTGCCGATCTTAGATGGCATTGGGAAAACATGGTCGCGACAGACACTGCTGCTTGAGAATTGGCGGTGGTTAGCATAGGAGGACTGGTAAGCGGAGGTTGCTTCATAAATTCCGAGGTGGGAACTGCAGTTGGTGAAGGTGGCAACAGGCCTCGTGGTATTGGTCCGTATATTGGACTTTCGTGTCGTCATGGCTGCTCCAACTCCAGTTTTGATGAATTGTGCAGTTTGGCAGCTAGACAGAGTTGGCGGAAAGTCACAATTGTTTGTTTTCAATTGTTTTCATATTTTTTGGCACATGAGGCACATTGTTCCATAGCTATGATCAATTTTTGCCAGCTCCACCAGGAGATTCTGTGCCTGATGTGGCGTTTACACGCTGGAGATCAGAAGCGTCACGGCTCCGGTGCGGGGCGCAGGGTGGGCAGTTTTCCAAAAACACATTGCGGCACAGGCAAAACATGGATGGTCATGGCCCATGGCCATTGCTTGTTTTGAGAGACATGTTGCTTTCATGCGAACTTTGATAAAGAACAATCTTTGCACAGGCCTCGTCGCGTGCTTCAGGAAACACTAGTTATTAGTGGTAATTACTTGACATTCGCAGTTTCTTAGAATCACTTGGGGCAAACCAAAAGACAAGTTTGTGAGCTGCTGGACAACAGGGAGACTCATTGAATCATCTATGAGGGAGTGACTGCCAAGCATTGCACAGACTAAGGGGATCTAAGGGGCAAGTCTTGGTTTGAAACGCTCACTACCCGTGTGTGGTGGAAAGTGTTGGCTTGAGACTTGTTTAAAGTCAGCTAAAACTATGACTGTACTTATGTGTGAAGGAAAGCAATACGTAGAAGATCGAGCATGCTTTAGAATCGAGCCACCACTATGTCCGAAGGCATGAACGAGAGCTGGACGCACTCGCAGAAGAAACAAGAGGAGGCAACCAACCGTTGAAAGTGAATGGATGTGTAGTAGAAAGAACCTTTTCTGACATCACTCTCACAGCCAGAGCAGCGAAATTGAACATGCTGGAGAGGCTTGTTGCAACAACTGTGGCAGGCAAGACGATGCACCGGGCGGTCTTTGCTTGCTGGAGCACAGAGACAGCTCGACTTCGGCTTGGCCCCTGGTGTATTCTGCCAAGGGTTGTTTGAGCTTTGCTGTCACTTGAGGCGTGAACGAAAGCTGTTGGAAGCCCTGGCTCGGCAAGCTAAAGCAGGCAGATTGAATTTAATTAGTTTGCTTTCCTTGCCATCCTGTGCAACACAAGCAGTCATTTTTTTTGAATGCCCGCTGAGCAAGTTAATTGAGAAAACGTGTTAAGAAAAGTACAGTGGACAGCGCTACCAGTGCAGCCGAGCAGGAATGTCCGCACATTGGGCAGCGTTTGCGCGCTGGAAAGCTGCAATATCTCGACTGCGGTGCCAATCCTGGCAAATTCATGCACTTTGCTGATAAACAATTTGGGACTGTGCAGCTGAGAAATTAACAAGTGGTAGATGACTCCAGTCCTGAGAATTGACCAAAGTCGGTGTTGGATTCATTTCCTCCGCATCCCTCAACAGTGGAGGTACAAACGAAAGTTGATCGATGCCATTGCTCACCAGACCAAAGCAGGCAGGAGAAGCTATTATTGTTTTTCATTTCTATGTTAACTTAGGTAGCATTTTGCGTTTTACGCGGGAGGAAGGATAGGCCAATCATTTTCCAGGCATGTCACCATGCCTTCACCCGGTGACTTTTCAAGGGGTGTACTTCGCTAGACCACGAAATGATGTATATATATATATATGTTACAATTTTACACTTACTGCTACAGAATCCTTGAAAGTTCGTCGCCCCCCCAAACGATCTGTATTCAATAGGTTTGCCAATCCTGTTGGCTCCACACTGCTGTGGTTCACGATGGGAGCTCTGACTGTCCTTCAATCGAGCTATTGTTGCCCCATGGCAGGCAAGACGATGCACCGGGCGGTCTTTGCTTGCTGGAGCACAGAGACAGCTCGACTTCGGCTTGGCCCCTGGTGTATTCTGCCAAGGGTTGTTTGAGCTTTGCTGTCACTTGAGGCGTGAGCGAAAGCTGTTGGAAGCCCTGGCTCGGCAAGCTAAAGCAGGCAGCGGGGGGGTTAGCCTACACCAGTGGCATCTCATCTCCGCTGTCGCTCAGGAGAGTCAGTGCAGTCGGCCTTTTCGCGGTGGAGTACCGAGACATCGCTTCTTCGGTGCCTGGGTCTTCGCGTGTCGTCTTGTGTGTCCAAACGCATCCCAAAGAGATCCGGTGAAGTCCTGAAGATAGCGTCCCCATGCGTCCCCTACCTTGAAACTGTAGACCCAAAGTTATCCCACAAATCTAGGAACCATTATTCAGCCCAAGTCGAACGTTTGCGTCCAGGCACCCAGTAGCTTCATAGCTACTTACTAGTAGCTTACTAACCTACTCTCATGGCCTGGGCTTTTGAGCAAAACAGATGAAATAGGACTTCCAAGGTTGAAGAATGTCAATGGCCTTCCACCGGGAAATGTGGCGATGTTTGGTGAAAGGGAAAGCGTCGCCAGGCGCTCCAGGCGTCTCCAAGAGGCCGTGGCTTTGCGCCTTCAGCGAGATCAAGCGCAAGGCGCGACCTGGAGAGCGACGTTGAAGTGCGACGTTTGTCCGAAATCTAGGAACCAAATGAACAGCGTGAGCTATCCTCCGTCCAGTAGCTACGAGCATGTTTAGTCCCTTACTTATATAATTAAGTAAGGAGGCCGGGCCGAGCGGGCCAAAAAAGACCATATTAGTAGCGAGCTAAAGGAATTGCTTTAACACAATGTTCTAATGTTAAGTTTCCCTAAAAATCTAGAAACCAAACCATTTGTGCAAGCGTGAGCTATCCTGCGTCCTAAGTAGTAGCATACTTGTAGGTACTAGCTACCTAGCTACTAGCTAACCTCACCTCTACATGCCTACCCCCACGGCCTCAAAAAAACAAACTATTTAAAAAAAAACGCGATGCGGCCGCGTTCACATCAGCTCTGCAGGTCTGATGCTTTGGGCGCTCCAGGAATGGAAGCGTGTGTCGAGTGAAGACGTGGGTCTTGAGCTTTGTTTTTTCTTCGACGAAGAAACTGTTTTGCAATGGCGATCTCTGATTTCAGCCTCTATATTTTTGTTGGTAGCTCACATTTTCAGTCTGCTGTATCTCACGTGTATGCTGAGGTCCTGCGAAGGCTCTGCTGGCATTTCCCTTTGCAGATGTTTCCTCAGAAGCAGGTCGAGACGACTTCCCGCCAGGACTTGGCTACCTGTGACAAACGCATCGAGCATATCAAGGCTGATGAAATCTGAGTTTTGTTGAAGCAGGGGGACACGTGTGGGTGTGCACACACCACACCCACAGGGGCAAATGGCCTGCCACTTCTTGATCTGGAAGTCGACCGTGACGAGGCCGCAGTGTCAATTTGTGGATTCATCCTGTTCCACTGGGTGTGTCACATGACATGTGATTTTCCTCCAAATCCAGGTGTGACAGCTTGCAGTCAAAGACATCAATGAATACTTGCTGTATAGGAACCAAATGAATAGTGCGAGCGCTTTTTCAAGGAAGCTTCCCCAAAGGCGGCGGGGGGAGCTTCCTTGGAGAAGTGTGAGCTTTCCCGCGTCCTAACATGTCCTACCTATGAGCGTCGAGTACATAAAAGCTGTATTATAGCTATATACTCTTCTACAGTGGCCTACCCCCCTCCGCCCTCCCGGGCTCTAAAAAAGAATGGTGAAAATAGACACAAAGGACACGGTTATCCAAAAAAAGCACCCTTTTCCATCCCTTTCCACGAAAGAATCCCCCCGCAGGCACGCTCAGCTGGAGCTCCGTGGAGCTCGTGTGCTGGAGGAGGTCTGGAAGCATTCGGCCAAGAAGCTCTCGGTCTGGGCTTCGAAAACGAGCGCACAAATCAAGAGACAGACTGAGTGACTGGGACAGTCTGGGGCGCCAAAGGTCTTTGTATCAGTAAAGCTTTCATGATTGGCGCCAGTACAATCAATTGCCTCAAGGCCTTTCGCAGTTGGCATCATCTTGCTCGCCACTCTGCGTCTTGCGCCCGGAAATGACCTTGGAACTCTACCAAGAGACGCTACCGCGAGAGAGACAAACACACACAATGCAGAACATGTCGTTTCGCAGTGTTTGCGTCAAGCTGGTGTGAAAGAACATGGATTGACGGGTCACTCTGATGGGTCCTCCTTTTCTATTTGGATCCTGACCGATGAGAATCTGACTGTACAAGTAGGGACATAAGATAAGACGCAATTAAAACCAGCTATTTCCAGCCTGACTGATACGGCGTGGTACGGCAAACCTGGTGATCCTCTCAAAGACTCAATGCCTTGCAGGCGGATCAAGGTCAGCTTGTCTGCTGGCATGTTTGCCTTCCAAAGACTGGTCCTTGGCAGCAGGCTCAGATTGGCGGAGGGGTGGACCACCCAGCGAATAGGTCTAATAGGTCTGGGTCTTCGAGTCCTTTTTGTTCGAAGGAAAATCCAACAGGCCCCGAAGATGCTTCAAAATCTTCAAGCAAAAGAGCTTCGAGGTTTGTGTTCCATTCTTTCCCCGACTCCAAGGTGCTTGGAAGCTCGTTTGCACACGAGCAGGCCCATGGGTTTGTGACCATTACGGTGCACTGCTTTTCGCTGGATCTTTCTGGTAGCAAGATAACGCGGAATGTGACATGCTCTAGGAGAATGGTAGTGCAGTTGCAGAAGGGTTGCATCATTCACCTTTGCGCTGATGCTTTTTCTGCTCGAGTGCCATGTATTGATCAAGTTTGCCTCACGAGCAATCAGCGGCTGGGCATTCATTTCTAAGGTGTACACTTTTTGGAGCTGCGTATAGATGCACAGCATTCTCGAACTGGGAAAGATTTCATGTTCCGAATGTCTGAGGTTCTGATGGCACTTGGAGTCATATTAGCCTGTCTGTCAGACCTGATTTCTGGAAGTGCTGAGTGTCAGACCTCAAATTCTAGAGTTCTGCGCGAATCGCACATCCAACATCCCCAAATTACTGTCAAGTTCCTTCCACGTGTCTTTGCAATGATGCCAAAGAGTGCTTATACGTCTAGTTTCATACCATCAGCTTTGCAAACTGATGATTCTAAACATTGAACAGGCTAAACTTTTGGAGAGGACCGTAGAGAGAGGGAGAGAGGGAGATAGAGAGATGAAACAGTCGCCAATCCAACTTTGCAAACGTGGCCAGGCCTCCTAGCCTTGGGGGTGGCTGGCTTCGGGCAGCAGTGACTTGGCAGGGATGACCCCGATGGTCTTCGGTCGTGAGTGTGGGGAAATGCCTCCGTGCCGCACCTTGCCAAGAGCTTAGGAAAAACAATAGTGAGCCATAGCATTGCTTAATGTACCGACCTTTTAATCTTGCAACCCATCCACTCCTGTTTGCACAAAACCCATCCGCCCCGATACATGGGGCGACGAGAGCAATCAAGACACAATAGCCTCGAGGTTATGGCTGTGACTGTTGTGACCGTAAATATGAAGGCGATCCTTTCGCGCTGGATGGTTTGTCCTCGTGAGAAGTAGAACCCTGTGGGTGTGTGCCAAAGTATTCGGCTCAAGTAGTTCTGTTGTACATAGCCTGCAACAAGATGCGCTGTTGCATTCTCAGCCTACTTGTTTGTTGTATTTCTGCCACGCCGGAGCCTGTGAAAAATCTGGACGTGGAGAGCTTTCTTGGGAGGTGGTATCAAACGTATGGCAGTTTCAGTGTGAAATATGCCACCGAAGCTGGAGCCAATTGTGTCTTCGTTGACTATGTCTCTTCGCAGGGCGTCATCGCCTTGACAAACTCTGTGAGTCTTTTGGGTCTTCGTTTCAGCGTGCGTGGCTTTGCAGTGCCCAGCCCCAATGAGACTGGTGTCTTCGATGTGTCCTTAGGACCCACTTGGGTGGCACCCAAGCATCCTCGGCCCTTCCGGCGGCCGAATTATTTGGTGGTGAACTTGGGCCCCAAGTATGATGGCAAGTACGAATATGCAGTGGTCACTGACCCCAGCTTCCTGTCTCTGTACATTCTCACACGAGATACTCAACGCTTTGCCAGCTTTGAAGAGGATGTGCTGAAGGAAGTTGCCGCTATGGGCTTTACATCTTTCCTGAACAAGCCAAGAAAGACAAACCAGAATGGGTGCAACTATCCTGATCCACAGCTGCCCATAGCTTTCTGACTCCGTCCATGTGCTTTGATTTCACTCGCAAAAAGTGCCAATTCGCGTGTGATACGCACAACATAACAAATTTCCGGCACGGTTTGACTGTTCAATCCCACGTGGTGTTACCCCAGCAACTTTTCAAGCGAGAGTAGGCGGTGTCATTACTATCAGTATCAGCATAATTCAGCATACTCTTCTAATTTTGTTATCACGTGCTTGCTTGCAGTTGGACACGCATGCACTGCACCCTTCTTCTATCCTCTCATGTTTCAAGCTATATACTGTAATTCTGCTGTCTCCAATGCTTTCCTTCAACTCCAAATTCAACACTGCATGGATGATCCTGCTATATATTAGTAGTAACAAAGAAGCTAATAGAAACAAGTGCCACGCTAGTAGTAACAGGTGCCTTACTAGTAGTAACAAAGAAGCTAATAGAAACAAGTGCCACGCTAGTAGTAACAG